TCCCATCTGTTGACCAGCAGATGATCCTTCTTCTCTTTTCCTCCCCACCCACTTGGCAAATTCTGGATTCAGGGCATGAATTAATTGCAACTTTTGTTTCCCAAGGATTTGGAAGCAGAGTCTCACCCTTTGAAATGCAACAGAAAATGATGTATTACCATCCGATGTCCAAAGGTTGCTTATTGAACATGTGGCGATAAAAATCCACACATTTGTGGGATGCCCTGAAGGTCACTTGTGTGGGCTTGAGTTGGATCGTCCTTGAAACTTTGCAAGCCCATCCTGAGGCGAGAGCTCAGATGAACCCCTCCTGCTTCTCCTGCTCAGCTCCAACCCTTTCCTCTGCTGCCACTGGCTCCTTCGCTCAGTTCTGGACCCCAGTGCTGCACCCACCACCCACCTCCTTGCTTCGGTAGCATCAAATACAGGCAGTCCTCGATTTACGACCATAGTTGAGCCCAACATTTCTGTTGCTAAGTGAGACATTGGTTAAGTGAATTTTGACACATTTTACGACCTTTCTTGCCACAGTTGTTAAGTGAATCACTGCCTTTGTTAAATTAGTAACCCAGTTGTGAAGTAAATCTGGTTTCCCCGTTGACTTTGTTTGTCTGATGGTCGCAAAAGGGGATCCCATGACCTCAGGACACTGCAACTGTCATAAATATAAGTCAATTGCCAAGACTCTGAATTTTCATCATGTGACAATGGGGGATGCTGCAATGGTTATAAATGTGAGAAAATGGTCATAACTCATTTTTTTCAATACAGTTGTAACTTTGAACAGTCACTAAATGAACTGTTGTAAGTTCTTCCACTTGGTGCAGAGTTTGTCTCCCAGTTGAGGTCAGGGTAGTTGAGGCCTACCTGTACCCCTACCATTGCTGTTGTTCACGCCCCGTTTTTGACCCCCTTCCTCAGGAGTGTCCATGACTGAAGACTTTAAAAAGTTGTGAGAGCTACAACCACTCGGGTATAAGAGTAGAGTGGGGCTTTGATGGTTGTGACTGCTATCTTGCGTGTTTTTGACCTCATACCTGCAGACATTCCAGCCCTTCCTAACATCACATTGCTGAAATGTGATGGCATATGGTCATTCTATGCTTCATGCTTCTATTTCTTTATGAGAAAAGGCTGGGAAGTTTGGACTTTTTTTTAGCTCACGTAAGATAAATGTGATGGAGTGGGAAGATGATCAAGGTGTAAAAAATCATAGCTGGCATGTAGAAAGTCAACAGGGAGAGTATTTTTCCCCTCTCCTCAAATGCTAGGAGCGGATAATTGGGAAGAGTTTTAGAACCAACAAAAATAAACTAGTTACTCACCCTGTGTGTTATGATGGGTGGGAGAAGTTTCAGTCTTCATCTCCTGCTTGTGAGGATTTTAGGGATGCAGAGAAATCAAACCATGCCCTGTCAGACTGTGGAAAAGTGTTGGCATAGTCTTGGAAGGAGCGTTAAAACAGCTCCACCTTTTCCTTAACTGGAGAGTTTGTTTTCTAAAAAGGGAATTGAAAACAAGCACATGTATGAATGTGTGGACAACAATTAAATGGTTGATAATCTAATAGCTTTTCTTGGACAGTGTTGGAATAAGGGGGAAATTACTAACTTAGCAACAGTTCAGGGTGAGTAAATTCTGCCTCTCTCGTGGGCAGAGCAGAGGATGAGATGAAAGATGATGTGAAGGCATGTGGAAGTGGAGAAGGACCAAGAGAGGACTACTATGTAACTGACCGATGGTGTGCCTTCTATCTGGTGACAGCATAGATTGATATTCTCTAGGACAGAGGTAGGCAACCTTGGCTCTTTTATGACTTGTGGACTTCAATTCCCAGAATTCCTGAGTTGGCTCAGGAATTCTGGGAGTTGAAGTCCACGAGTCATAAAAGAGCCAAGGTTGCCTACCCCTGCTCTAGGAGGATCTGTCTCCAATGTGGTCCCTTGGCTCCATCAACAATGCACCCATTATCATAAACCCCCAACTGGCCTCAACAGTTTTCAAAGAGTGCTAATGACCAAATGACTGCAAAGAAATGCAATCCTTCCATCCTTCCCCACCATCCTATCAAAATCTATCCTTCCACTTCCCAACCATCTAGTCTCAACTGTCAGTAGCACTACCACTAGCACTTAGACTTATATACTGCTTCATAGTGCTTTACAGTCCTCTCTAAGCAGTTTACAGAGCCAGTACATTGCCCCTAACAATCTGGGTCCTCATTTTACTGACTTCAGAAGGATGGAAGGCTGAGTCAACCTTGAGCTGGTGAGACTCGAACTGTCGAACTGCTGACAGTCAGCAATCAGCAGAATTAGCCTGCAATATGAATAGAAGAAGGGGACGACAGAGAATGAGATGGCTGGATGGAGTCACTGAAGCAGTAGGTGTGAACTTAAATGGACTCCAGAAGATGGTAGAGGACAGGAAGACCTGGAGGAACGTTGTCCATGGGGTCGTGATGGGTCGGACACGACTTCGCAATTAACAACAACAAAATGAATTCTAACCAGTGTGCCACCACAGCTCAGTACCTATCCTTCCATTCCCCCATCAGAACCTATAAAGCTTCTTGGATGAGAAGTTAATCATTTTCTTCTTCCTCCTCAATTGCCCTTTAAAGAAAAAAGCACCTTTGAGACCCATCACCAATGTAATTCCATCTGTCCACCTTGATGCTGCTTGTCTTCTTTTTCTCTTCTAACTGTCCCAGAATTATAGATTTAGTGCCTATGGTCCAAAATGCATTCCATTCTTTGTATTTACTATGCTTCTGAACTTACCTGGGAGGGGGAGGGAGGGAAGAATTATTTTATTTATTTATTTTTTAAATAATACGCCTCTCTGCACTCCACAGGTACCATGTAGCTTCCAACCCATATTCCTGGCTCCCAGCACCATTAACGAAACACCCCAACATTCAAAAATTAGGTTCAGAGTGGGTATGTTGGCCCACTGGAAGGCACAGCTCAGACAAAAAATTCCAGCCTTCTTGTTTTGGATGACTTGACCTCAGTCCTAAATGGACTCCTGCAGTCCTCTAGCAGGTCAAATGCTAAGTTGGCAACTATATTTGGAAGTTACTCACTCCTGAGCTACGATTTTGTTTCTGAGCTCACTTGGGGTCCACAGATATGCTTAGAAAATTAAAGTTAAAATGGTTGAAGCCCAGTCCTTTTGAAATGTGCTTACTACGTCAAAAATTTAGGTAGCAAGGTAAGTGGAAGTATTTATGCATTTAATGAAAATGGCAGGAATATGTTCAATTAGTCACCTTTAGCAGTTATTTTGTGAGAATATCTAGTGGTAAACGTTGAGTTATGACCTTAATGGAGCTTGCCCATTATGGTTGTGAATACTAATAGTCATAAAACGAGTCGGTCATATGACTGACCTGATTTTACAAAGTTTTGCAGTGGTCCTTAAGCAAGCACGACTGTTGTAAAACAAACACCATTGTTATTATGAAAACCTATTGTTCAGTATGCATGGTTTTGCCAAAAATTGGAAGTAAAATATGTGGCTGTGGGAGGCTGCCAACAACTATAAGTGCAGCCGTATTGCCAGGTGCCCAAAGTGCAGTCACATGACTGTGGGGGTGGCAACCATTGGAACATTGTAAGTCATAAATCCCCTTTTTTAGCTAGGTGGTAACTTCGAGTAATCACAAAGCGACTGGTCATAAATCAAGGACTACTGTACACTGGTTTAGACTTTCATGGCTTGTATCTGTTGGCCAGTGTTGAGCTTCAAGGTTTAGTCTCTGAAGATGCCAGCCTCAGTTTCCTGTGAAATGTCAGGAAATCTGCTTTCTAGACTGCGCTGAAGCTCAACACTACCCAATTCCTGTAATGTATGCCCAACCATCTGGTCCCAAGAGTTTTTCTGTCCTTGTAGGCACATCTTCATCACTGGTCAGAGATTGCAGGCAATTTTCCCCAGGCCTGGTCTAAAATAAATGTAACCCTTTCCCATATAAAGGTGTTTGATAGCCCTGCAAAGTTTTTTTAAAAAAAATTCAGATGAGTAGATCAAATATATTGTTGTTCTTTCCAAAAGAAAAGAGGTAATGCCATATAAATAATTGCCTTATAATATATCTCATGCATGTTACAGGTAGTTGTTGACTTACAACCATCTGTTTAGTGACTGTTCAACGTTATAATAGCACTAAAAGAAGAGACTTATGGACTTCCGGTGAAGATGCCGCGTTGATGGCAGCCTTCTTTTGGCTGCCAGCCCTGTGAGTGTGTAAAAGCGCGCGGAGACAGCGAAAATCAGCTGTCCCGCGGCTTGAAAACCTTCCTCTCAGGAGAAGGGGGGGGAGAGTTTTCCTCAGGTAGAGGTAGAGCTCCCCTGGACCTCCTTAAGTATTTGGAGGTCGGAGGGCGAGAGCTCCCTCAGAGCCCGAGGCTTTCTCCGCACTCCAGGACGCCTTTGCTCTGAATTTCAGGAGCAAAGCAAGATGCCGCATCCACATCTGCATTTTAAAGTGACTTGTGAGTAATTTAAAAGCAGACAGAGCTGACCAGGAGAAGTTAAAATTACAAGTGCTGGAAACTTTAACTCGTGGAGAAATAATCTTCTTCATATTCTAATTTAACTTAAAAGGGAAAAAAAATGTAGTTTCTTTGTTTGAAAGGTTTGACTTAAAAGGAAAAAAATGACGTTGGAATGCTGTTTCTTTGTTTGAAAGGACAGTTTCAAGAAAGATATATTTGGCAACAAAGTTTTAACGTATTAAGGGGAAAGTGAAACTTATTTATACTGAAGATATTTGCTTTTTCTCTGCCTCTTTTGTTTTCAATTCTAATGAGATAAAGGCTTTTGAAGTGTAAAGAAGAGCTTTTTATAGTTATTGAGGACATCTGGTGGCGAAAATTACTCCAATAATTAATAAGAAGAAAAGACAAAGGTTTGGAAATAGCTGTGGGTCAAGTGTGGAGGAGGATTCTTAATAAATATAGTTTTCACAAAAAGATTAAAAGACTTTTTTTACTATGGAAGTAGATCGACAGATTGACTATGAGCTGATATTGGAAAAAATATTGGAAATGGTAGAGGAGAAGTTATGGAGTAAAATTAAAGATTATTTTGCAGAACCACAAGCTGAGCCTCAAACTTTAAAAGATCAATTTATAGGCCAAGAAGAAGTCTATATGCAACAGTATACACAATCTGAGATGGAAGAAGAAGTTACTGATCAACTGAATTCTGGACTGGATTATAAGCTGATACTGGAAAAAATAGGGGAACTGGCAGAGGAGATGAAATCATGGAGAAAAACTAAAGACCTAGAATCACAAGCTGAGTCCCAAATTTTAAAAGATCAACTTACAGGCCAAGAAGAAGCTTATATGCAACAGGGTACTCAATTTGAGATGCAAGAACTTACTGAGCAATTGAACTTTAGAAAAAATTTGGATCCAAAACCCCAGATTGAGACTTTAAATATTACAGAGGAGGATATTTCACAAGTTTATGTACAAATGGAGTACTTTGAAGATCAAAAAAGGATTATAAGTGAAGTTCTCCCATTGCCAAAATTAATTGACAGCCAGACGCGACCGATTAAAAGTTATGATAACCTGGATAAACAAGCTGAAACTATAATATGGAATAAAATGGACTATATTGTTTATATGATACTGGAAGAGGGGGAAGAGAATTTTGATCAGATTGACTTGTTGACTCAAATACCGAGATTTGATGACATTAATGTGATATTTGGAAAGCCAGCTTGGTATAGAAGAAAGGCCAGAGTTAGATTTAAGAATGTGATGTAAAATTTTAATTATTGGGTCAAAAAGGTTTTAGAAATTTGGACTGATTTGACAATCTAATTGAGTAAATGGAAGTACTAAGATAATAATTGGTGTAATAATATGTTTGTTTTAGATTTGATAGTTAATTTGGTTGATAGAGTATATTTAGAATAAATAAGGGAAGGGTTTTTTTTTGGATTAAGTTTTGGTGGAATATTCAACTGATTCCATAATTATTTTTATTGGGTGTTATTATAGATTGTGATGCCAAAGAAATTAACTTGATGTTGAATTTGATAATAGTTGCAAGGTTATTAGTGGGGCAATATTGGAAGAAGGATTGTTTGCTTACTATAGAAGCATGGATGCTTAAAGTGTTAAATTTAGCAGAAATGGCTAAGATTTCTGTTTATTTGATGGATCACTTACAGGAAAGATACATTTCGGTTTGGAGAAGATGGATAGATTGTATTTAAAATAGATATGGGATTAAAAGGTTATATTTAGCTTATGAGTGAATCTTAGAGTATTATTATTATTAATAGTTTATTATAGTGGAACTTTTTATTATATTAACTTGTTTATGTTTTTATTATTATTATGTTTATTTTCAATTTGTTTATGTTAAAGGGGAGTTAAAGCATATTGTGGACTTGGTTATTTATATAGTTGGTTAATGTTAGTTAGAGTATGATTATTATATTTGTAACCCTGTACTCAGCTCTGGGAAGTGGGGGAGGGAGAGGGGAAGTTTAGGGTGGGTGGGCTTTGGGGTGTATAATTTTTATAAAACTTTTTAATAAAAAAAGAAGAGACTTATGACCATTTTTCCCTTATGACTGTTGGAGCATTCTTATGGTCAGGTCATGTGATCAAAATTCAAATTCTCAGCAGCTGGTTCATATTTACGATGGTTGCAGTGTCTGGGGTCATGTGACCAGCTTTTGTGGCCTTCTGACAAAGTCAGTGGGGAAGCCAGGTTCACTTAACAACCATGTTACTAACCTAACAACTGAAATGTTTCACTTAACAACAGCTGGGAGAAAGATCGTAAAATGAGTCAAAACTCATGTAACAAATGTCTTATTTAGGAACATAAATTTTGGGCTCATTTGTGGCTGTAAATTGAGGACTACTTGTACTTTATCTCAGCCCTACTGTATTTAGTTTATATTATACTACATATACAGAATTTTTTGAGCTTTAATTATTGGTGTGCTTTTAAGCTTCTGCTTGACCCCAGGCAACTGTCTAGACAAGTCCTTACAGTTTTCTTAGCAAGATTTTCATAATTGTTTTGATTCTTTGTAAGGCTAAAGAAAGAGTGATTGATGTAAAGCGACCCAGCCAGATAAATGTTTAAGGCAGGAGTAGAACTTAGATCTGGTTTGGTCATTTCTGGCTTGGCGCCTTAACCGCTAACCCAAACTGGCTCTCAATATTTGAGTAGCATTTTCTTATTTATTCAAAATTCATCTTGTAACTTACTGCTTTGTTCTTGCCAAATGCCCATTTTTTTTTTGTACTCGGCATATGTTTAGAGAAAGTGAATAGATTATTTCACTTTCACTGAGCTCTGCTCTGATAATATATTACTTCATTCCCTATGTGTATTAATGCTGAAACATTAGTTTCTTCTAGGATCAAATCCTGCATTGATCATTGCAAGTTTAAAGAAGTACAAATAATTGTATTCAACAACTACAATTAAAGATAAGCCTGTGAAAATGCTTTTCTACAACCAGAAATTATCTTCTTATGGAAAAGACACACCTACATTTCAGGTATAAACTTTTCATCTCTTTGAGCACAAAAAAAAATATTTTAACAGGACTCGTTTGGCTGTTACAAAAATTCATGGATGAATTACTGCAAACTTGCTTTGCTTTCAAATTCTTCTCTAAGAGATGTAACTGCAAAAAGATCAAAACACTTCTGAGTCTTCCAACTTTTAGTTAGTTTTGGTAGGTGGGTGCTGTTGGGCTGGATCTGATCTTTGTCAACTGTGTGGGTAGGAAAACATTAGAAACAAATGATTAAAAGAATTTTTTTTTAAAAAAAGAAAAGAACAAAACTGCAGACACTCCAAATTTGTAGAGCAGAGAGGCAAACCATGAATTTCTTGTTCTACACAAAGACCAATCACAGAATTACCCCATTTTTGAGCTTGCATTATACATTGAACTAAAATAATCAAAAGAATTGGATTTTAACTACATGTTGGTTGCCCAGTTGCAAAGTTATAAGTGAAGGAGCCAGACTGCAGGATCTTCTAGGGAAATGAGGTAAAAGGAGCTATAAATTTTGGGTAAGAATTTATTGTTAGACATGCTAACTGGCTCCTAACTGTACAATTAACTAATCCTGCCCTAAAAGGACAGGCAATTTTCCTTCTGGATAGTTACATCATTCCCATCTTAATTTTACCCTTTCCTAGTTGAGACAATTCACTGAGTGGTTAAATATCTCACCCATTTACTGTAAAGGCACAACCTGTGAAAAATTTATACCAGGGATCATTTATTCACCAATGAAATATTTTACTTTATAATATTAAGATCTACCAGACTGGTAAAAGAAAGTAAATTCTTCATTAGTTTTACAAATATTTTTATATAGTGTTTGGGGCCTCATTAATAGGTCTGACAGCACATAGTTTCTCTTTGGAGATGGATGATAATTCTCTAGTGATTAAGGCAGGGTGCCAAATCAGATGTTCTGAGGGAGATTAGTCTTTTATTCCCTCATCTCCTGTTGCCCACAGTGAGACTTTCACATATTTTAAAATGTAGGTGGTTGTCCACAAGGCTCCCATTTGTGCCTGAGATTAGCCCCTTTTCTCTTACAGCAGATGATTAAATGAAGATTCTTCCTAGAGAGGCTATCTCTCGGGGATTGATGTTTTCTATTAAAAAATGCAGTGCTTGGAGTTTGTAAAATATCGCTGGCGCCTTGGGTGATGTGGAGTTTTTTATGCAGATTGGCCCCAACTAGCAGAAAAATGATAGATGATTTCCATAAACTTGGAAACTCAGGGACCATGACATAAGAGTGGGTTTTCTTTCTCTTCCTCCTCCTCCTCCTCTTCTTTCTCTTTCCTCTAAGCTGCTGTAAAGGCCCATTGATCAAGCCTATTGAGGTGCTGGAGAGAAAGTTCATTATAACACACACACACACAAACAAACACACACACACACACACACAGAGAGAGAGAGAGAGAGAGAAAGAGAGATAGATAGATAGATAGAGAGAGAGAGAGAGAGAGAGAGAGAGAGAGAGAGAGAGAGAGAGAGAGAGAGAGAGAGAGACTCTACCTCAGGTTCTCTTTTTACTTGATATGAAACTATTACCTCAGGCCTGGCAAGCAGAGCCTTAGTTTTGTTGAAATCCCCCAGATACAGTCCCTGAAACCTCTTCCAAACAACTGCCATGTCTAGCTCAGTCCTTTGCTATTTTGAGATGGAAAATGGATAGAAATTTTTCTGAACTATTTTCTAGACTTTCTGCTATAGTCTACAGCCCTGAAATTTGCCAGTGATCTTCCATTCAAGTTCTAATCATGCCAGAGCTTTTGACACCAGCCAAGTTCACTGAGGGTCTACCTCTCATAATGCTCCACAGGTTGTCCTCACTTAATGACACATCAATGAGCGACTTTTCAAAGTTATGAAAGATCCCCCCCCCAGCTATTTATTACCCGGTTCCTGTGTTCCAATGGCTGCACATCCCTGAATGGTCATATGACTGAATTTCAGGCACTTGGCAACAACTCACCTTTATGGCTGGTTGTGTGTTCTGCAGTCAGGTGACCATAATTTTGTTTCTGGCTGTTTTGACCAATTTCTGGGAAAAACATCCTTTGGATTACATAGATTGGCTTAAGAGCGGCAGCACTTGCTTAATGACTAGTGAAAAAATGTCATCAAAATAGGTCGGGTCATCTGGGTGACTTGATTTACGACCATCATGATTTACAGTGAAAATTCCTGGCTCCATAGCAGTAGTAAGTTGAGGACTACTTGTATTGATATCAGTGGAAGTTATATATAAGGCTGTAATTGTACATAAATTTATCTGAGAGTCAGCTACCTTCCGCTTAGAGGAGCTTATTTTGAACGAAGATGCATAGGATAGTGCTCAGAAGAAATAACTTGAGGATTGCATTCCCAGGAGTGTGCTCACAAGAGGGTGTTTATGTGCATCCAGAGTTTAGTTGAAAAAGAAAGGGCAGAGTAAGGTCATGCTCTCTGTAAGCTCTACTAAACAAGCGTTATGGGAAACAACCTCAGGGTTACCTTGGCAAATGTTACG